TAACAACAACAACATGAGTCAGAACTGACTTGACAGCAGCACTTAACAACAACAACAACATACTCTTTGTACAGTTGAACAAGTTCCACTGTCTCCTTGCATTTCCTGCAAATTGGCAGCTGGATCCAGAGACTGATTCAGTAGAAATCCTTTGTTAAGACAACAAAGGCACTGACGTATGGTTGTCTCTCTTGGAGTGCAGTTCACAACCTCTGCTGCTCAGTGCCTGGATTCATAGACACAAAGGGATGATGATATTCTAATTCTACCATTTATTTTCACTGATTGGTAGTTGCTGCTTGCCACCTTTGAATTAGAATCTGTAACGAGCACTCCCCTGTCATTTCCTGGGTGCCATCAAGTTGATTCTAACTCACCCGACCCCATGTGACAGAACAGAACTGCCTCTCAGGGTTCTCTAAGCTGTGATCGTTACAGAAGAACTTTCTAGTTCTTTCTCGTTGGGAGTGACTGGATGGGCTCCAACTGCCGTCCTTTCGTTAGCAAGGATAAGTCTGCGCTTATGCGTATGTGCTGGTACATGCATACATATGCATAGTGTAACATTGTGACCCATTATTTCACAGTTATTTACAGTATAAGGTCAAATATTGACAAGATAAATGGAGTTACGATGAATCAAATTACGATGAATTAAATGGGGTATGTCTGCCTCCCCCGTGTCCCGTTCACCCAGCTCACACAGGCTCCAAACACACATCAGCCGATATGACTTAAGCTAAATTCACCATTTTCCCATGTGCCCTTCCCCACCCAACCTGTCCCTCCCACATGATCCAGCTGAGGGCACAACGGCAGCATGTTCTCAACCGTCCACATCTAAAATATGAACAGAATCCTTGACTTTTTCCTCTTCCTTATCTTCCCATCTTTTCAGCCATAGAGCCTGTCCATTTTGCCACCTGAACACCCACCCAATGGATGCATCCGGTGGAATCCTGTAGAACCATTGTGCATGGCCTTTGATGATAAGAGAAGGCCATACAATGTCAATAGAACACACAGAGAGGGTCTGTTTCTTCTCTCCAGGAGAGAAAGGAATTAGACAAGGATGTCCCTAAGCTCAGTGTTTCTGGGAAGGATAAGCCCATTCTGGATGGAGATAATGGAATCCTAAAAGGTATAGAGACTTGAGAGCACACAAAACATAGTGCACGAGGACCAGGGGATGTGGTTGGAAATGAACCTGAGAAGGGGGCAGGATGAGAAGGACTATGTAATCCCGTGGTTGTAGAGGAGACTGGGTCTGGGCATCACATTCTTAAGGGGTGATACTACAATGTTGTTGTTAAGTGCCATCAAGTTGGTTCCGACCAATAGCGACCCTGAACAGGGTTTCCAAGGCTGTAAATCTTTACATGAGTAGAAAGCCTCATCTTTCTCCCACGGAGCGGCTGGTAGTTTTGAACTGCTGACCTTATGGTTCACAGCCCGATTCGTAACCATTACACTACCAGAGCTCAAAAGACCTACAGATAAGACCTTACTTGACTGGGGTGGAATTTGTGCCTTTTGATTCCTCTATCAGTTCCGGTGTAGATCAAATCTTCTTTAGAGCACGATTTCCAGCTGTACTCATCATTGTAATGGGTCTGATTGGGGATGGGGTCATCAAGCGAGTATGTATATCCTAATCTTCGGATACTTTTCTTACTACAAAAAAAAAAAAAAAGACAGTAAAAATCAGAATAAGGATGAAATGAAAATCTTCCAGTAGTATG